TATACAATTGGTATAATTATTTTATAGTATTATTTATATTTAAATATTTATAGTTAAGATTAATATTGCACTAAGTAACTTTGCCCGAGTGGTTAGTATTCACTAATCACTTCGGGCTACCCGGGTTCGAACCCAAAAGCTGTGGTGATTATTTCATTAAAATCCGGGTGGACCGACGGGTCCTCGGGTCGGGCCTTCGCGTAGACCCGTCGGGTCTCGGGTCCGAAAAATTGGGATCCGAAACCGACCCGTACTGGGTCGGGTCGGGTCCGGGTTCATGGTTAACAGGCCGGGGTCGGGTTCGGGCCGGGTTTAAAATCTCAAACTTAATAGATTACAAATAAATTAGGTGATGTATCTAATGAGTTGGATGGTTTTGAAGAAAAAAATAATTCTCAATGTCAAATTCACCAAAATAATGAGGAAATTTTAACATATTAAATTTATATATTTAATTTTTTTGTTATATTTGCAATAAAGAACTACAATAAACCCATTGAATAAAATCTACAACTATAGTTTTATGAAGGAAATAAGACTAACTAATTTTAATTAATATTTCTTAGTTTTTATTTGATAAAAATAATAATTAAGTTAATATTTATCTAAATATTTCATTTTTTTACAAATCTATACTTAGTGATTACAATGAAATTGAACCAACAATCAAATTCAACATAAACCAACAAAAAAAAAAACCTTTTATTAAACCTTGTTGTAAAGTTAAATGGCATGCACAATCATAATTACTATAAGAAATCAAATACACATTTACGAATTAACCAAAAAAAATAATTCTCAATGTCAAATTCACCAAAATAATGAGGAAATTTTAACATATTAAATTTATATATTTAATTTTTTTGTTATATTTGCAATAAAGAACTACAATAAACCCATTGAATAAAATCTACAACTATAGTTTTATGAAGGAAATAAGACTAACTAATTTTAATTAATATTTCTTAGTTTTTATTTGATAAAAATAATAATTAAGTTAATATTTATCTAAATATTTCATTTTTTTACAAATCTATACTTAGTGATTACAATGAAATTGAACCAACAATCAAATTCAACATAAACCAACAAAAAAAAAAACCTTTTATTAAACCTTGTTGTAAAGTTAAATGGCATGCACAATCATAATTACTATAAGAAATCAAATACACATTTACGAATTAACCAAAAAAATAATAAAATATATTCAAAACTCTATTAAATTAAATGTACCAAAAAAGTATTCTACAGCCTCCAAACATAAAATACATTATCAAACAAAGAGTAACAAATATCCATAACGAGTAATAAAATATAGTTAATTACTATTTTTATCAATTGAAAACTATGAAATATTAATTAAAAAATAGTTATTGCAAAAATGCTTATTTCATTCATCAAATAAAAGTAATTTGATGGTATATTTTATTTCCCTCCAAAAATTTCCAACTCATTAGCCACATCACCTAATTTATTTTTAATCTATTTATTTTTATATTGTAAATGTCAACTCATTCAACCTACCATCACATTACCTGTTATAGCAGGTCATAGGACTAAAATTCTCAACTTTTCTAACTTACAGGACTAAAATTCTGATTTTGAAACATAGTGGACTAAAACTCTCAACAAGCAAACTTATAGGACTAAAAAACTCATTTTTCCCTCTAAAGTCTAAACCTTATTCTATTGGAAATATTTTGCTGGGTTTTATTTTTGAATAATTTAATTAGATAAATTTATCGAGACTGAAATAGACTCTTTATTTTTAGGGTAAATTACAAGCACCCTTGAGATATGGTCAAATTACGGAAACTCCCTCTTATTTGAGTAATTATAATCACCCCTCAACTATAAATCTTCTTACACGTCCACCTTTGCGGTTTCAAATTTAGTGGAATCTTCGAGATAATATGGATATTATCACTTTTGTAACCGCTTTATCCCATTCGAACTCCACATTTTGAAGCAAGATGATCATAATATGTGTTTTTTTGGCTTGTATATATCAGATTATGGCGCATCAGAAACTGTATTTTTACATAAAACTAGTACAAACTAGAGCACATTCCACGAAATCTAGATGATTATGTTGAATTTGACACCATAAGGGTGGAGGTGTAAGAAAAAATCATAGTTGAGGGGTAGATGTAATTATCCAAACAAGAGCGGGTTTTCGTAAATTGACCATACCTGAGGGCGGTGGTTGTAATTTTCCCTTACTTTTAAGGAAATTGCGCCCATCTGTGAGGTAAGGTTAAATTCAGAAAAAATATGTCATGTTTGGGTAATTACGATCACCCCCTCAACCATGTATAATACTCATGCACGTTCACTCTCACGATGTCAAATTTACCTACTAAATGATGATTTTTTGGGTAGAATAATACATAGTTGATAGGTGGTTGTAATTACACATATATGAAAGATTTTTTCGTAATTTAACTCACCTCGGAGGTGCCCGTAATTTGCCTTTACTTTTATTTATTGCAAATTGTCGAAGTTTGGACTATATTATTATATTTTTAACTTCTTGTTTTAAACTTTGTATTTTCCTATTAACATGTTTATTTCCTAATGCCTTGGATAAAGATTTTATGCTTAGATAGACAATACAATTGAATATTATTTGAGATTTAGGTCTCGTAAGGGATGACCTACCGATTGAAGGGAGAAAGTTTGTATCAATTGATCAAAGTTTGAAATGGATGTCATTATCAAGCAATTAAACCGCTTGATTATATTGTAGGCCGGAGAAAAAAATTCCTCTACCATACTAGCAAGAAAAAAAAAATTCTTCCCGAAAATGAAATAAAATAAAATAAAATCATCTTGATTAAAAATATATCGATAATTAAACCAATCCACTCATGCGAAATCGTAGATCTTCATAATCAACTAATTAACCCCACCTATTAAATACTAAATAGTCACTTTGTATTTTAGAGCTGTCGCCTCAACGATGATTTTTTTTTTTTTTGTATTGACTTAGTTGAAAATCAATTGATTTTACCGAATTTCAAATCAGTCGACTCACTGATTTAAATAGGTTGGCTAAGTTACAAACGAGTAGGGTCAATTGACCCGAGAGGAGAGAAGAGACAGTCTGACTCGACGGTTTTAACTTAAAAGGTACTATTTTAAGAGAAGTAGAAGTATCTTTTTATGAAAATAAAAATAAAAAGCAAAAGTTTTTTATCACAAACACTTTAAAAGTGATTCTGAATCAAAAAACTTATAATTACTTTTTAAAAGTTTTTGCAAATACTAGATAAGAGATCATGGTGCAGTAAATTAAAATAAAAAAGAATATAGGAAATTCTGAGCTGATACAAATAATAGGAGGAACATTTTTACAATTAGAAAAAATCCTGTGGTGTTTTGAACTATTTTTTTCTTTCGGTTAAGCAATTAGGGATGTAAACAAATCGAGCTCGAGCGGAGCCTAATTAATTTGGCGAGCTAGAGTTGGAGCCAAATTGGTCGAGTTCGAACTCGATCTCAAACTTATTTCATTTATTTATTAATATTAGTACTTATTTCTTATTATAAATTATTTTTATTATATTAAAAAAAATTACAAAAGAAAAAAATGAACTACATTTTTGTGGTTTAAGTTTTTTTTATATGTATTATATATAGGGGGCAACTATTTCAAATACTAACTTTTGCTTACTTGAATACTACCAAGTTTAAAACCAAAATTGAATACATATTTATCAGTTTTTTCTTACTTTAATACCAAAAATAAAAAGAAAATTACAAAAACACCCTTTCATACAAAATATCAATTATATCAAATTTTATTAGAAATTACCTAATCAAAAACCAAATAAAAAAAAAAAAGAAAAAAATCCTTTGTTGTAAAAAGAAAACCTCCAATCTCTTCACCCTCGATCCGCCAGCGCCGCCGCCGAACGCCACCGTATGGCGCCACTGGTTCTTCGTTCATTTTTATCAACCCCCCCCGCTTCTTCGTTCCGGTTTCATTCATCCAAGTAATAATTTATTTCGAATTTTTTTTCTTTAATATTTCCTTACGATTTGATTGTTCGATTAGGGTAAATAGGATTTGATTGTTTTTGGTAGAAAATTCGTTAATTTGTACAGGGAGCAACTTATTTCAAACGATTCGAGCATTGATTCTCCCTAACGCCGCCCTTCTTTCCACACCATTTTCGGCCCGTATATGTCGATTTTTGATGAATTTTCGACAGCTTGATGTTGAAAATTCATCAAAAATCGACATATACAGGTCGAAAATTGTGAAAGCTTGAAATGGGGATTTTTGATAATTCGACAGATAGCTGTCGAAATTTGGATGAGTTTTCGACAGCTAGCTGTCGAATATTCAACCAATTTTCGACAGCTACCTGTCGAATTAGATCTGTGTAATTTTTTTTTATTTTTTTTTTTTCGACACTTAGGTGTCGAAAATTGTATCAAAATTCGACACTTAGGTGTCGAAACTTAATAAAATATGAATTGTTATGTTTTCGACACATACATGTCGAAAAATAAGGGTATTTTCGACCTGTATGTGTCGAAAATACATGGCGAGTTTTAAAAAAAAAAAAAATTCAAAATCGATGTTTTAGCTCAAAAAATACATGAATACATACTTGAATGGGTTCTCCTTGCTCGTAAACTACCATTCTATTGTCATTTGACGCCATTTTGCAAGTTGTGTAAGGTTTTGATTTCTTTTGTTTTGAGGTTTTTTAGGAGGGTTTTTGGGGAGGGAGAAGAAGGAGGTGGAGGAGATGAGGGGTTTGTGAGTGAGGAGGGAAATGTTGTTTTTAGGTTTTTGATTATTTGGTATTTAAGAAAGAAAAATAGTATTTGTAATATTTTTTTGGTTTTAATTTTTATTAAGGGCATTAAAGTAATTTACAATTAATTATTTATTTTTTATTTTTTTGGTATTCAAGTAAGCAAAAGTTAGTATTTGAAATAGTGATCCCTTATATATATATTTAATTTATACTTAAATAATAATATAAAATAAATAATACAATTTAAAATTAAAACACTTACAAACGCAATCACGGGATGATGAACAATTAAAAATGTGCTCCAACATGTCAAAAGCCTCGAGTTAAAAAAACTCGAACTCGGACTTTTGTCGAGCCAACTCTAAAACGATGACTTTACAAATTAAATAATTAATCTCATAAACAAAATTCCAATTAATCATACTCCAATTCTTTTTTTTAATACAAAGTTGAATTATTTGAGGGAGATGAATAGCTATCCGGAACCACCTCACTGGTGATCTCCACCACTTCCCTCCGGTGGAAATTCCGGTGGCAGCCACAGGCGGCGCAGCTGAGCTCAGCCTCCACGTTCGTCAGGTCTTTGCCGCCAACTGCGGCGGCTATGAACTCCCGACAACCGTCCACTGCGTGTCCTCTGATATAAGCTGCGTGGTTCCTCTGGCATTCAACGTATCGAACAACGGCCTGCGATTTTCGTGCGCTCCTCTTATTATTGTTATGAGATCCTTTCTTTGTAATCATCACTTCTTGCCTTTTCTTCATTACCTTCACTTTTATAATCTCTTTAATTATATTGTAATACTCACTATAAATGGAGAATTGTATCAAGAGAAAATATTACTGAAGATCAAAGCCCAAAGGTTTTTAAAAGATGATGGTTTTAACCTAAATTTAGCCAGCAACATGTTGTATTTATATTACCAAGTTTCTATACATTAGCCGTGGCTGAATTAAATAATATATATTCATGACAAATTATAGATACACCCATAAACATTAATATATATATATATATATATATATATATAGGGCTGGGCGTTGGTCGGTTTTATCGGCCAACCCACCCACTTTCAATTTGCTTAAAAGTCCGTTGGCCAAATTTTGAATAACGTTTGATTTTTTTTCCAAAAACATGTTATTATTGTAACAAAATAAAAAATAAAAAATCAATAAATAGATGGACTTCTGCACTACCGACGGCCACTTCCGGGATGTGAGCATGATCGATGGTCCAAAACTTTTCTTTAATCTTGTCAATGTCCCACTCGCAAGAGACAGGGTCAACATGAGGAAATAGGTCATCGAGTAAGGATTCGAAAATTCCCGTCCTCGCGTAACCATGGATCTCCCCAAATAGAAGCAAGAGTTACCGTCACTACAAGAAAAATTGGTTTTAGTGACGATTATGTATGGTCGCTAAAAGTTAGAAAATGGTAGCTAAAACTTCTAGCGACCAAATTAAGCTTGGTCACCAGTGGTCACAACAGGGTAGTTACTAAAAGTACTCAGTGACAAGAAAATTAATTGGACGCTAAAAGATAATATTTAGCGGCGAACTAATAATGGTCACTAAAAATATAATTATTAACGACCAGTTTTTGACTCGCTAATGTAAATTTTATGGTGGCAATAATATTAACATGGTTGCTATAGCAACATATATAGTGGCCATATAATTTTGGTCGCTAAATGATATATACGTATAGTGACCATATTTTATTGTTGCTATAGGATATATATATTTGGCCACCACATTTTTTGGTTGCTACATAATATACATATAGTGACAGTATATGTTGGTTGATAAATAATATATCTGTTGGTTGCTAAAATATATACATATAGTGACCATATTATTGGTTGCAATAGTTTTTACATGGTTTCGACAATTATTAAATTTACTGACCAATTCAGATCAATAATTAATTGATTGCATAAAACATTAATTTTTATTTGCAACAGTGGCTGTAAAAAAATTTAAAATAAAACTAAAGATTGCAAATTTACATATTATCAATCAAATGTGAATATTATAATTTCAATCTATCATACAAAAATACAATAATAAATCAATCATTCCAAATAATAAGAAAGATTACTATAATTATTTCATAATAAATTCCACTTCATAAATTGTTAAGCGACAACAAATATGACTTCCACGATAACGTTCGTTCACTTCATCAAAAAGTCCAACCTGAGAAAGGGAAAAAAAATTCAATTAGAAAATAAGAAATCATATGATAGAATCAATTTCAATCATTTGTCACTTAGTAGCACTCATAATTCAATAATGTATCTGGGCTCTTGCATAAGTAGCTACTTACCTCGTCCAGTCATTGAACGATTTACATTCATTGAACCCCACCTCGTCCAGTCATTGAACGATTTACATTCATTGAACCCCTGTAGAAACAAATCAAATGATTTAATGAATCATAATAGAAGTGGTTCCAACTAGTATACATGTGAAACGACTTAAAATTGATAGAGAATCAGATTGAAACTCGTTGAATTATTCAAGGTCGATAAATTAAATGAACTCAATTGAGTAGTCAAGGAATCGAGAAAATAAATTATTGGAATAATTCCCGAATCAAGATGAGAACTTATTAAGTTCCAGGAAAAAGGATTTCGAATCGATCGAAGATTGCAATAGCTCAAGAATCAACAATTCTCGGAAATCAAATTAGTTCACAAGATAGGCGACAATAAATATATATTGAATTTAAACGATGAGTAATAACAATAATAAACCGAACGATACGATTGCTCGGCATATATCCTGTTTCCCAGAAAGAATAGGCAAGGGATAGGGATCCTCACCTGAAGTCCAGTGCAAGGTGCTATAAATAAATATCCTTACACTCAAGCCATGCTCAAGCCTTGAGTGAGAGCTTTAGTACGGTCGATACCTGTACAAATATTCATCACTTAACAAGATTCTAATATAACCGTATTATTCCACTATATCACTTAGTCAATTTCTTGAAACATTTATTAAGAATTTCTTGCCGGGCTAATTCTAACAATCATTACGATCACCATACTTATCCGAATAGCCTAAACTCTATATCAAATTAAAGATAACAACTTCATCTACAAGTTCAATTTAGAAACCAACCCCAAATTATCGACCTAACACAGCAGTAACAGCCCCGGAAGATAATTGCATGAAACTGCTAGGTTTTGTTTGAACAAATGCCATTTGCTGGCACTGTTTATTTGAAAAATCATAACAATTTGTAGAGTTATCCAAATTGTCCAAATAATACACCAAATTGAACCTTACAATGTAAACTACAAGTTCTCAGAAGACACACAGCCCAAATTATTAGATCAACATAGCAAAAACGGCCTCGTAAGAAGAATATTCAAAACTACCCTGTTTTTTACAGATTTAAAGTCACTTAATTCGGACCACTAATCAGCTTCAAAACATACTCTAACTCAATACAATTTTACACTTACCAATAGTTTTCGAGGTCCTCTACGAGTTTCGTCAAGGAATGATTCCCAAATTCGCACTCCAAACCCTCCAAATTCTGCTCCGAAAACAGGTGCGGCAGCAGGTTTTCTTTCCCTAAAGTTCCGGTGCGCAGCTGGGATTCTCGCCAAATTCCGGCGACCACCGCCGATGAATACCACCGAGAACAATTACTGAAACAGAATATACCGAAATGGATATTCTTTTTTGCTGATTGATGGAGGCAATGTAATGATTTATTCGATTTTTCTGTGCTTTTTTTTTTTTTCAGTTTTCGATCAAGCTTATAAAAACCGAGCATCAAAATATTCCAACATTTTACGATTTCGAGTACAGAGACATGAAAACTAGTAAAGCACATGCTCATGAAAATGGCAGCTAACCTTAATAGCCGATGCTTGATCCATCGTCAATTAATCACAGATTAAGCTCCTGCAAATTAGTTAAACCAGACATGAGATTAATCCATGCATGAAAAAACCGAAATGACTTGTTAAAGAAACGACATTTCGAACCAATTGAAAAAATATTTTTGCACTCCAAAGTTGGAGTCTGGTTCCAGTATTTTATCAAACACCTTGTATGCACGCTGCACCTATGGAAGGCTGACTTCTCAAGGTTTCTAACCGTGGGTCCTGGTCGTCGAGATTCACCCTCTAAGGCCTCCGTTCAATTAATTCTTTGAAGAGCCAAAGGCTGGAATTCGATTTCTGGACAGCTAGTCGTCTTCTTCGCCCGATTCCGGCGACCATCTGATGTAACCACCGCTGGAGGCCACCACCGACTTCCCAAGTTTTCCAACGATGTGACTTGATCGTCATAACCCCTCGTTCACACAACCCTAATTTTGTCGATAATTGAATTGGGGATTTGCAATTCCAACCTCAAATTTGTTTCATATACCTCACTTCTTCAAACCCCTTCTTGAATTCGAATTTTCTCCAATTAATTTCTGGAATTTCAGCCAAGAACCGAGAGGGAGAAGGAGAGAGTAGGCGAGAGAGAAAGAGAGCGGAGAGATAAATAGAGCGATGAAGAAACGAAGAAAGATATGGCTGTATTTTTTCATTATTTGTATTTTCGCCCCCCATCTTTCTTTTATTTTCTTTTCTTTTCTTGATTTGTTTAAAACTAAACTAGTGACCAAATCGATTTGATTTCCGTAAGTAGTTTCATAGTAACCAAATTCAAGTGGTTGCTAGCAACCCAATTAGATGGTTGTTAATAATTAAATTAAAGACTCGTAGCAACCGTAAAAAAAATTGATGTTGAATTGGTCACTATTGTCATTAAGTTATAGTGACCATAAAAATTGTCGCTACAAACTTTAATTTTAGTTGCTACAAGATGTCTAACTATTAGTGACCACTTATAGCTACCAAATGTTCGCTGGTCGCAACACGATTTAACCCTTCCCACTTTTGCTACAAAATTACTTTTGGTCACTAAATGTGAACATTCAGTGACCATTTAGTTATGGTCGCTGAAGTTTGGTCACTGAAACTATTTTTTCTTGTAGTGCGTCCCCTATCCGTCTCCGAATTCCCATTATAAGAACAGGACGAGCTTTGAGAAGGCTACGCTAGGTTGCCGAGGGGCGCATTCCTTCAACTGCGCCCGACAAATATTACCTTTGGAAAAATAACTTGCTTTGATCCATTGGGATAATTTGGAAGTTATTTTCCTAAAACAATATTTTTGAAAAAAGAACATTCCTTTTGAGTTTTAAAATTCAAATGCTTACAATATTTCAATATTTGATTGAACGGACTCAGTTGGAGATCATTCACACTCAATCAATCATCATCAATTGAAAAGTGATCATTAGATTTCAAGAGATGAAGAGCTTTTCATCTATAGATAGAGAACCATTCTTGAAGCTCAAATCATTCTAGGTTTAATTCGAAAAGAGCTACTATTCTATCATTAGAGTGCTAGGAATTTTGAAATTTTCATCTTGTACTCTCCACTTGATTCATTATATATCTCGAGAAGGATTTTGTAAAGCTCTTAGAGAATAATTATTTATTATGATATGTTGTTGAGTGCGAAAGAGCAAGTCTCTTGTAAACACGTTGTTTTGTGCGAAAGAGTGAGTCTCTTGTCAACATGTTGTTTGTGCGAAAGAGTGAGTCTCTTATAAGCACGTGTGGATAAGTGCGATAGAATATAAAGTCTCTTATAAGCACATCGTTGGTGCGAAAAAATCGTTACAGTCTTGTAAGCACATTCTTTTTCATCTACAGGATCCAAGGATCTTTGATGCACGTGGAATAAAAATTCCAGAGCTTAGAAAAGTCTAGTACGGAAATTTCTCCGAACCACTATAAATTTGGTCTAATTTACTTTACGCATTTTATTTTATCGTATTCTAATTTCCGCATTCATATATTATTTATTGCTAAAACTTCATTCATAAGTTGACTTAAAAGTTACCAACAAATTATTACTTGAAATATTATTGTTCTCAAAAAATATTATAT